GGAGTATATTGATTAATTAAATTTAATCTGGTCTGATTTGATTTGATTATAGTTATATTTAAAGTTATTTCTGATTAGATATGACCTGGTCTGATCTAATTTTAATAAGAATAAGTAATAGAAGTCAAAGGGAAAATGAGCCTGGTCAAGCGGAAAACGAAGTCTCATTTCTGGAATTTGACTTGCGAAAAAAACTCCGAAAGACAATTTTCGTTTCTTCTTCCTGAACTCTTCTCTTCTTTCTTCATCGCCTCCTTTCTTCTCTTCCTCCGAACCTATCCTTTTTCTTTCTTCATCCTTTCTTATCCCTCTCTTCCTCGCAACCCCCTCTTCCCCCTTTTTCTTCTTTCGTTCATGCATCTGCATCTTCATCTGTTGCTCCAAACCTTCATCGCAAGCGTTCTTTCCAAACAATTACTGCCTGGTACCCCAAATTTTGTGGTAAGAACTTGCGAGTCCCATCGTTTTTCAAAATATACCCCGGGGTACCTTAAAATATCCAAAAAACTCACTCTCGTGTGACTTTTCGTTCATCCCTCTGTCATACCCACTTGCTCCGTTATCTATTCGTCTTCTTCTTCCCAAAAATTGCTACTTGGTACCCTCAATTTTGTGGCAAGAACTTTCGGGTCTCATCGTTTTTAAAAATATACTCCGATGTACCTTAAAATATCCAAAAAATTACTCCGGAGGGATTTTCCTTTTTTCCTTCTTACTACTACTACAGAGTATATTTTAAAAAATAGTGGAAGCCGAAAGTTCTTACCACAAAATTTAGGGTACCCAGCAGTAGTTTTTGGGAAAAAAGAAGATGAAAAGATAACAGAGCAAGTGGGTATGATGGAGGGATGGACGGAAAGTCCCTCCAGAGTTAGTTTTTGGATACTTTAAGGTACCCCGAATTATGTTTTGAAAAATGATAAAACCGAGAGCTCTTACCACAAAACTGAGGATACTCATCATCTATTTTTGCATTATTTCGCTGGTAAATGTAATTTTTCATATTTTTCTTAATTTTTCATGGAATTAAGATCTGGATTTCTTTGTTCATCGCAGCCCTTATTTCTTTACTTTCATGTCTCAGTTTTCTTTAAAACCTAATGTTTTTTTTGTTATTGTGATGAATCGCTAATATTTTCGCTTAGGCTATTGGACAGTCCAAGGTCCAAATATGGGCCTTGTAACAGTGAAAGAATAAAAATATAGGAGTAATAAGTAATGTGAGATGGACGACACACAGTATTATAACTCAAATCGATGTCCTCTCCCCTAGACCGTTCGTCTGTGGATCGGAATATTCTCAAGGATCTCTTTTACTAATCACTATTATATGTTCTCTCTTCATTTATAAGATGATCTTCTCAAAGGCACGGTCCTCTCTCTTTTATAGGAGGCCTCCCCAACTACCATCATATCAATATATCTCCGGTGATTGGGGGAGGATAAGGGAGATCTCCTTCTCCTGCCCAGAAGGCTTCCTCCACTCCAAGCTAATGGCTTATGGACAAGTCTGTTATTGGACAAATATCCCCTATCACCGCTGTCTCAGATAACGATAGGAAAATATTTGTCCATCTCTCAAGGGTGGGTCGTGTCTTTCTATGGTGACCCGGTCCTCTATGGGTTGTTGCTTAACTCCTGCATCAACCCAATCTTCCCAAGTCCCATCTTAGCACTCCCCGACCCGATCCTTCTTTAACTGGATCAGGCTCGGGTACTGCCTCATTCCAGCCCCATCTATCTTACCATAATTGGGCCGGATCATCTAAGGTTATGAACTCTAACTTGGGCCTCGGGTATATTTTGGACCCAACCCATCTAATAATGTCTTGGTGGGCCGGGTTTGTAATACCCCGTATCAAGATGGGAATGGGAAGAGCTCAAAAGGATTGATAGTACTACTCATACCAACAAGGTGCATCTTCTTTTTGGGAGCTCATCACCTAGAAACTTCAAAGTTAAGCGTGCTTGACCTGGAGAAATTTTAGGATGGGTGACCTCCTAGGAAATTCCTTGGGCGCACACGAGTGAAGACAAGTGCGCGGGAAAGACGTGTGTTGGTTTGTGGGGCCAGTCTACAATCCTATGAGCGGACACTTACAGCTAGGGTGGGGGCTGGGGTGTTACAAATGGTATCAGAGCAACCCTGCGACCATGACGGGCCAAAAGAGCTTAGTTCACCTAGCGGGGAAGATCTATGTGTTTAAAAAAAGGATGCAACGAGGACGTTGCATTCCTAAGTGGGTGTGAATGTAATACCTCGTATCAAGATGGGAATGGGAAGAGCTCAAAAGGATTGATAGTACTACTCATACCAACAAGGTGCATCTTCTTTTCGGGAGCTCATCACCTAGAAACTTCAAAGTTAAGCGTGCTTGACCTGGAGAAATTTTAGGATGGGTGACCCCTAGGAAATTTCTTGGGCACGCACGAGTGAGGACAAAGTGCGCGGGAAAGACGTGTGTTGGTTTGTGGGGCCAGTCTACAATCCTATGAGCGGACACTTACGGCCAGGGTGGGGGCTGGGGTGTTACAGGGTTCCAATCACATGTCCTTTTTTTAAAAGTCAAAAATAAAAAAATGGCTTTTGTACATCTATCTTTCTCGTCTTCGGTCTATATACCTATGAAGGATTCAGTTTACTGGGAATGCAAGTAGTCCACTTTGCTGGTATTAAATTGATGGCGGCGGTCCACCTCTGCGCTGGTCTTAGTGAGAATGATCCACCCCACATTAGGGTGGTTGTAATGGTAGGTTTTTGTGTAAGTTTAAACCCATAAAGCTAGCTTTATCCATTACAAGGTGATGAAATGACAAAAATTTGTAAAGTTGGCTTTTAAACTTAAGAGTTGGGTTTATGGGGGGAAAAATGGTCTCTACTATCATATCTCTCCTACTTTTTCATCCTTTTATTTATTTTAATTAAAAATAAATATTTTGTTAAAGTTGCAGTTATAGGTTTATTGTTATAGGAGTAGGTTTAAAAAAATTGGTGGACTAAAACTATTGATGTGGCGCTCACGTGGCGATATTAAAGCTGCTTTTTTGGGTTTACCATTATAACCACCCTTAATTGACGGAGGTATGGAAGGCTAGGGACCCACCCTTAATGGCCCTCTCATTAATGAAGGCCCCACCAACGGTCCTTTCATTGCTGAATAGTCCAGCGGTCCCTCCCTTGGTCAAAGTGGATCGCACTCCAATGTTATTTCTCTTTAAGCATTACTAATGGGGAGGAATGAAGGGGGGAATAGGATGATGTGGAGGGGGGAATGAAGAGAAGCATGATTAGAAAAGAGAGGTGAATAGAGTAGAGAGGTGAGGAGGGGGGAATAATATTGAGAAATCACCCCTAATAAGACTAAAACATTGTACTAATCCCTAAAATAGGAGTTCAAGTTTTTTATCCCTCAAGTAGGACATCTCCCGCCACATTCTTTGTTTCTCTCCCAATTTTGCCCTCTTTTTCCTTTTCACGCAAGACTTCACCATTCATTTCCTTCTTTCTCATCATTTTTGTTGAAGGAGAGTGTCATGTTTGGAACAACACACACCCACTCCTGGAACCAGAGGTGCTTTTATTATATTTTTCTATTCTTTTTTATTATATTTTTCTATTCTTTTTTATTTTACTTCGTAAAAAGTATTTTATTTTTTAAAAAAATATTTTTTAATTTCTTCATTAGTCCATCCTTTTTTTCTTTATCTTTTTTTATTGTACATGGAGTTATTCACTTCATCTGTATTTCATTTTTTCTTGTGCGGCCCATTTATCGGTTTGTGTTTAATCACTTAAATTTTAAAGAAATAAAACAAAGAGAAAGTACCAAAATATGATATGAGTTCCATGTTTTTATTCCCTAAATATGAGTTCACACTGTGATAATATGACACTCTACATAGGCATTTGTTGTAATATACATGGTCATGATTGGTAATGTAGATGTATTTTAACTCATATTTTGGGGATAAAAATATGAAACTTCTATTTTGTTATATTTTCATTTTTTACTCCTACTTTAGAAAAAGTACTAACTTAGGAGCTCCATGTTTTTATTTACAAAACAAGAGTTTGTACTGTGGTAATGTGACATGTAGACATGTGGACATGTGGACATGTGGTTCAAGTACTTGTGGTCTTGTGGACATGTAGCGCGACCAGTGAGGAAAAAAATGGTTCTGTGCCACAAATGGCGAGGGGTATTTTGGGTATGGCGACGCAAATTAAGTCCTATTTGGGGGATTTAAGTTTTGGAGTCCTATTTAAGTATATTTGATATGTTTTAGTCCTATTTAGGATTTTTTCCCAATAATATTCCTCTAAAGAGAGAAAATGTCTGATTGACCAATTACTTTTTTATTATTTTTTAATTTTTTTTTGTACAAATGAGAAGATGACATGTGGGAAAAATAATGAAAGAAGTAGGGGAATGGTTAGAGAAAGGTGGGAAAAGTTGAAGGAAAAAGTGACGTGTCATTGGAAATAGATAGATGTGGCAGTGTTTCAAGGAATCTCCACCTTAAGAAACTACTCCGTATCATATATGGCTCATGCTTTTGAGCAAAGCAAGGTACATTCCGGAGCTCAACTCTTCATTGAGGTATACTCCAAGCAAGCAAAAGCACGTACGTCTCATTACTCGATTGTACACTTATTTAATTTTTTTTTCTTTTATATCCCAAAAGAGTAAAATGTGCATTGCAATACAAGAGTTGATGCTACCAAAACATACACACATGAGAAAATGCAAATTAAACAATCATCTATGCTCAAAATATAATTGAGGTCTCCTAGTACACACCAAGCCTTACAAGAACTTTAAGATATTAAATACGTAGTATATATCACAATTTAATGTACTTTTTTTTGTAACTTGTAGTCAAAATTTGATAGGAGATATTAAATATATATCACAATTTAATGTACTTTCATAACGCTCCAACGGGAAGAAAAGCTCCTAATCTCCTATAAATTAAGCGATGCACAACAAATTCAGAAATGGGGGGAACGACGAGAGAGTCACAGCTGCGGCTCTAGTCGCGGTGGCGGCCGGCGACAACCAACGGCAGCGGCAAGACCATAGTTCCTTCAAGCTCCAATTCTACAAGTTTTCATCATCATCATCTTCTAATGGTAACCCTAGCTTGTTTCTCCAATTTTATGTAAAACTGTTGTTTTTTATTTATATACATTTTTTGTTTGTTAGTTTGAATTGGTTGAATTGTATAATTTGATTTCATTAATCAGTAGGTTGGTATGTGGAATTCGATTTTTGATTAAAGCTATTTAAGCTCCATATTACATTTAAATGATTTCTGAATTCATAAGTGCTTCTTCGTTGTGCTATGTATTTTGTAAAATTTTAAGATTTATGGACCTCTTAGTTCCATAAATTGGACATTTTCTTAAGATTCGTTATTGAGTGATTTTGATATGTTTTCGTGTGCTTTTTGTTATTTTCATAAAGATTAAGGTTGTTTAAGCTCAAAAGCCGTTCTCGATTTAATGGAAATATGTTATGTTTTCTTATGTGAATAGACTAGAATTCTTATGCATGAGTTATTCAAGGAGGCTTGCAAAATATTTTCATCATTAGACGTTAAAGTTTATTAAAGTGCAAAATGTGTTGGCGGTTTGTGAATAGATTATGCATGAGGGTTGAATGAAACATTAGATTCGCTCTTTTTTTAAATTTTTTCTTTGTTTGGAATAATTGTTTGAGCGCTTGAGAGGGAGAGTTGGGGTTCAAAGTGATCCAAAAGGCTTTTGAATTACATGACTCCGGTTATAGAGAATTGACGATCCTATATATGTGGTTAATGATATGTTTCAACTTGAGCTTTTGAATTATTTTCTATTCTTAAGTGCGTAAGTTATGTAATATATTGTCTACGTGCCTAATATACGTGTAATGTTTGACTTGTGTTTATTCACTTTTTCATTTTGTTTCGGGTTCTTGGCGGTGTTTCTTGTGTTACCTAAGTTGGAGAAGTTGGTTATCTTTAGAGCTTGTTTTCCCCCATTTTATCAAAAAATCCAAAAAATAAGAACAATAAAAAATCAAAAAAATATTTACTATTCATCCAACACCCCTCCCCCCCTTCGTGTTTTAAGTTATAGTATAAGCTTTATTTACTAAGTTATAGTATAAGTGTTTGTAAGTTATAGATAAAGGTTTTGCAATGAATGCCACCAAATATGCATTTTGATTTGCAGCATATCATAATAGCAACATTACATTCATTGAGTTATAACATTTGTAGGAATTTTGTGTGGGGTTCTTCTGCCAATTACTCCAAAGCTCCTTTGATCAATTGGGAAGAGGTATGTTTACCTAAAATATTTGGGAGCCTGGACTTGCGCAATATGGTCTTATGGAATGGTGGGATGTAGCCAAAGAGAAAAATAACCTATGAATTAAGTGGATTCACGAGTGATATATTAAGGAGAAGTGGAACTATGAGATAAAGGGGGACTGTTGTTATTACTCGAAGAAGATCTAGCAGAATAGAAGTTTGTTTGAAATGATGCCTTTAACTAGAGAGTATCCTACTGAAGAGGGCTATAAGTGGTTGTTGGGAATGAGGCAGAAATCAGAGTTGATCTCCTTTGTATGGAAAATGATGTCTGGTCCTAAAAATAAGTTCTTTGCTTGGCTCCTATGCAGAGGTAGAATGAAGACAAAAGATAGGATTATTGGGAGGTACTTGGATATTGATAGGACTTGTGTTTTGTGCAAAGCTACAGAATAAGACACGTATCACTTGTTTTGCAATTGCCCAATTACCCGTTCATTGCTAAGGAGAGCTTCTGACTGGCAGGACTATCAGTTTGGAGGTGTTACGGTTGAAGAAATGAGGCAACATATTCTGGCTCTTGGAGGAAGGCTATTAGCGCTTATATGGTTGTATACTTGTATGTTATAGCGTCTGGAAGGCAAGAAACAGAGTCACGTATAAAGCAAGAAAACCCCTGCGAAGAGAGTGTTTAGAGGGATTATTTTGCACCTTACTTGCGTACTCGGCAAAGGGGAAAAGCTAAAAGGGGAAGTAGTTAGTTTTGCATGTTTGATTAGTTGAGGCGTTTTATGATGATTGGTTAAAGTTGTGCTCTCGATTGGTTTATTTGGGGCCTGTTTCGGAATAACGTTAGAGATTAGCGTAAGCATTTTGGATAAAATTTTAGCGGTGTAGATTACTTTAAAACGCTAAACGCTGCCCGTAGATAGCATTTTCAAAATGCTAACGAACTTTATTCCCAAACAGGCTTGAATTATGATGTGCATTTGTTTCAAAAAAAGAAGAAAGAACTAAATATAAAATGTATTTTGTTTGATATTACAAATATGTACGGAGTACTTAATATTATTTATTTATCTTATTTGAATATTATTATCAAAGTATGATACGTAATAAAAAAATATATAGTACTCAATAAAGATGTATTCATTTTTATACTCATTTTATTAAATATATTTATAATTTACTTTTTTTCTCCATAGAAGTATGTATGTATTTTATAATTATTTAAAATAGCATTATTTTTTATTATTATTATAGTATTATATCTACACAAACAAAAAATATTTTAATTCATGTGGACCGGCCCGTGGACTTGAGTATAAAACTCGAGCCCACCCTTAAAATATTCGGATCGCCGTTTATAAAGTTCAAATCTGGCTCGTATCCTGAAATATCAAGTCCAAACCTCCTACAGGCTTTTGCAGGTCTAATTTGGTCTAATTTGTTATCAGGGCCCATAATTTGCAGGTCTAATTTGGTCTAATATAAGAGCCCAATTTAGTCCTCCGTATCAAGCAAGCGTTAACTCTCCATCTCTTAGGCGCAGAGTATTGTTTCCTCTGTCGTCTCTCTACAGGCTTCAAAACCATGAGCGGCTCCGCCAACCTATTACCGGCTCCCCTTACCTTCCAGGTTTTTTTACTTTACTTTTATCTTCAACCCAACCTACTGTCATGGATTTTAACTTTGATTTGTATATTGACACACACACACACACACACATCTTATGTTCTGTTTCTGTTGTGGAACACAACCAAATTCTGTGTTTTTTGTAGGACCTCAGGCGCTACCAACTCTTCTAAAACCAATTGGTGTTTGAAGAGGTGCATACCCTAGCCTTATAGTACATTCAGCGCACAAGCGCCCACGACATTCGATTGTGACTTGGCCCACATAGCCTCCGCCACGGGACAATTGCTGCACACATGGCCAACATTTTTTTGTTTGTTTATGGAGTATTTTTATGATGCTTTTAATAATTTTTGTGTTTGATAAGTCAACCCCTTTTTTGCTTATGAAGAAAAAGAAAAAAAAAAGAGTGTGTTTGTTTATGGCTTCTGCTCATGACTCGTACTCATGTTTGTTTAAGCCAAACCAACTTGATTGTGTTTGATGTGTTACCATAATTAGATTGATGAATGTGTGGCGGCAGAGATCTTGATACGAGTCGGCAGCGGCAATAGTGTGACACAATGCAGGCTTGTTTGCAAAGGATGGAACTCCCTCATCTCTACCCCATACTTCACCCATCGCTACAACACCTTTCTTGTTTGCAAACGAGAGGCCTTCACTCTCGTTTGCCAGTTTGGCGAACCTGAGAGAACCCCATGCCCCATCTTCACCCTTTCCTCCAAAACCACAACAACTCCAGATGATGATGATGATACTACTGGTCCCACAGTTATGACTGCCGTGGATGACATCACTCATAGCCTCCAGAGCCTGGTTGCCGATCCTGGTCCAAAGCGAGTCAAAACGTCGTGTCGTGGCCTGCTTTTGCTATGCAATTACTTTGGTCGCCCTGGTGGCACCCAGTATTATGTAGTGAACATGCTTACCCTTGGGTGGAAGAAACTCCCCCCTTGAACCAGAACCATCATATTCACTTGGACTCAGAGTTGCCATCAACCATCGCGCCTACATCTCTTATTCCACTGGACTTATCATAGAGGAGGATGGTCGTCACAACACTTTGGGTGGTTTTAAGGTGGTTCGTATCCCTTTTCTTGATAGCATGTGTCCTCTTAATAAGAGATTGCGTCGCCGGTGTTTGGTGTTCACATATATTCTTCGGAGCTCCTTTATAATTTACAATCAAAATTTTCTTCTCAAAAAGCATGGATCACAAAAAATGATTCTAGTCAAGATATTAGCCAATTGCCAGTCTGATAAGCGTTCCAATCCCTAGCTTTCATCACGATTCTGAGCAGACGTGGCAAGCATTAGCACCAAAAAATCGCAGTGGTAATAATTTTTTTAAAAAAAAATTGGAGATGAATGAATTCAAAAAAAAATATACTACCTCCGTCTCCAATTTTACAAATTGGAGTTTACGAGGAGAAATTTTTTATTTTTTAAAATCATTTTATATATAAATCGGTATATCGATAAGAAATAAAAAAATTACATACTCCGTATTAAAAAATTACATCAAAAGTTCTACCCCTCCGTCCCATTTTGTATTGTCCGTTTTGACTATGAAGCATATTTAAGGAAGGAAAAAGTGGTGTTGATTTTTCAAAAATGTCTTACTTTTTTTACGGGGATGAAGATGAATGAGAAGATAAAGTGAAGAGAAGTGGCTTATTTTAGGAGTAGTTCAGGTATTTTACCCCTAAAAGTTTATTATTGTAAGAAACATGCAACTTATTTTGGGACGGACAAAAAAAGGAAAATATGCAATTTAAAATGGGACAGAGGGAGTACAAAATAAGAGGGGACAAGAATATTTTATTTGATCAAATATTTAATGAAATCGCGTAAATAAACAAAAGTTATCGACAGGAGAGAAAAAAATTGTAATCAAATTGAAGACGAAAAGAGTACTACCTCTGTCTCAGAATACTTGTCCAATTTTAAATTTTGTTATCAATTATTTTTAATCTTTAACTTATAATTAAATAAAATATATTTTGTATATTAATTAGATAAAATGATATTTTAAAAATATTTTATTATATGAATCTTATAAATATCTAATAATATTTTTATTTAATTTATGATCAGAATTTACCAATGCTGACTTAAAAAGAATCAAAAGCAGACAAATACTCAGGGACGGAAAAATATAAAACTTTTTTATAGAATGATGGAATGTTACGTAATGAGTACTTCGTATAATACGGAGTATTAGAACTTGGGTCATTTTTTATACGGAGTATGAACTTTAGGTTTGGAATTACTGTAAAATTTACCTTTAGGGTCCGTTTGGTACACGGAATTGATGGAATTAGAATTGAATTGGAATTAAAATTCCATGGGATACAATTCCATAGAAATTGAATTCACCAATTCCAATTCATTTTTTGCACTACCAATTCCATATCTACATAATTTTTGTGCTACCAAACACTAGAATTGGAATTGAAGTCCTCAATTCCAATTCCATAGTTTGAATTCTGTATACCAAACGGGGCCTTAGATTATTCGCCCTTCATTTCTCTACTTCATAATTTCTACTACTATGCTTTATATATTTATATTAACTTTACCAAGTTGGACTGGAACAAATGAGTTCTCCCGAAGCATGCTAAAGGAAAAAAAACAGTATGAAACACAATTGTTTTAATGCAGAAATAAATGTAGCCATTATCTAGGCACACCCTACAGCACACAAATGATGTGGGAAATGAAATGCGTTCATTATGCTTCACAAATCAAGGGAAAACAATTAGTTCCACGGACGACATGTCTCATACTCTCTGCAAAAGGGGAAAAAGACCGGGCTACCTTTGCGGTGAGAATGAAAGAAAGGACAATGCATGTGCATATGTATTGCTGCTGATGACCATTTACATACCTAGGCTACCTCCTCTTGAACTTGGCCATCTGCATCGAACAATAAAGTTTACATATTTTGACTAATAAACACTCCTGTTTGCACGTGTGCCTAAAAACACCATACCCGCAAGATGGATGGCCAAATTTGCCTGTTCATCAGCTTCGGCATTTGAGTCCTATTGTAATCAATAACAGCAAAACAAATGTTTGTAAGGTCAATGAAGAGGCAATGCAGCAATTGGAGAATGTGAATGTGTCGCTTCAACTATTCATTTGGTCAAAACCAACTCTTCGTTCTTTGCATACTCTCGATGAATTCAATTTTACATCATACAGAGTATAAAAGTTCAATTGTTGCCATTTACTCCGCATGAAGTAGAAGTTTTATTGTATTTTTTAAAACATTTAAACTTTAAAGACTAACTATAATTTAAATAATACGTAGTACTAGGCATTAAAAATTAAATTGAAATTAAGTTGAGACAAGTTTCATAATTTACCCGAAGAACGTGGACAAGCTGGAAGGAATGGAATCTATCCTTCAATTGTTTTGCTTGCTCGTACAGAGTTGAGATATTTTCATTTTTAACCTTCCAAAGACCCTGGATCTAGTTTTACAAGGACTAAGTTTCACACAGTAAATCTATATTGATAGTGGAAGAGATATTTCATGCATGAGAAATTAAACTACCTGCATACACACAAGCTTAGAGTCACCTTGTGCGCGAATTCGTGTAAATCCTTTGCTCAGTGCACACCTTAAACCCAAAATAATGGCTCGATATTCAGCTACGTTATTTGTTGCCACTCCCAGACCTTCACGAAGCTTAATGGTCTGTATACAGGAGAGAAGTAATGTTTAGAATTTGATGGAAGAAAGAATGCTAAAGAGACATATGTGTATATAAATAGAATACCAAACTGCCATCATCAGCTCGCAGCACAGCTCCTGCCCCTGCTTGTCCAGGATTTCCTTTTGAAGCACCATCAAATTCAAGACTACAAGACTCCTGAAATGAATGCCACCAAATATGCATTTTCATTTGCAGCATATCATAATAGCAACATTCATTGAGTTATAAAATTGTTGTTGTTATTATGATGATAATATTTTTTTGTATGATTATTACGGAGTACAAAAGCATATTTTATCTAGATAACTAGACTAAGGGCCTCTTCCACATCTTGACTCCTTCAGTTTAAATGGAGACTTACTTGCAGTCCAGATGCACTAGTAATTTTTAACTAAAATCTAGAATCTGGAGACTAGGGCCAAGAGTCTAGAGACTGGAATCTTGAGTCCCAAAGTTGAGTCACTAGTCTGAGACTCTGAGGAGAACACTCTAACAAAAGAGTCTTAATTAAAAATCCTTCCGTCCTAGAGATAAAAAGGAGGCATGTTCTTATCAAGGTACAACTTTTAAATTTGGATAAGTTACAAATATTGTAAATATTAACCATACATACATTTTCTTTAACTTAATAATTTTGTTAAACTAAATTTAACTTATACGGAGTACTTTATGGGGAGTATAATTTTTATGAAACAATTTATGGGAAAGGATAAATTAAGTTTAACATATGCTTCAAATGGGCCTCTTTATTTGGGGGACAAATTTTTTGAAATGTGACTGGGGGGGGGGGGTTCGTTTTTTCAATAAGTCATTGTTAACAACGACTCACACCCGATGATAGAGCTGTGTCATCAATCTTTTCTAACATCGCATGCTTTCTTATAGAGGAATCAGTTAGCCTAGCTGCTGCTGGTCCAGCACCATCCTGTGAATCAAAATATTGACTGCAAGTAAACAAAATAGTCTTTGAAACAAGGGCAAGTCAGAAATATTTTTACAAAATTTAATCAACCAGAAAGTAATTTCCATGACTAACATTCAAAGCCCCATGTTAACAAGTGGTGACTTGGCTATTTATTTTATCAAATGATCAATGAAAGTATGTAAGCAAATAAGATATTGTTTGACCCTATGAATAGTGAATAAGTTCTTTTAGGGACGAATGAATAATAATAATATTATTATAAATAACAACAAGAATAATAGTAGTAATAATAATTGTAATAATAATAATAACGGTAGATTAGCACATAATTTGTGCTGAAATAGACACATCATGTGGTCTACTATACTAATTCGTGTGGTTTACTACACTAATTCTTACACCTTCAAATTTTAAGGTCGAAATTACAACGCAATTAGCCAATTAGGTGAATGGCCTCGACGGCTAAGCATCATTAAGTAGAACAAACTTCTACACGTCATTGAAAGTTTGAAACAATCATAGGGAAACATTATCCGGAAAAAACTAACATAGAAAGAAATACAAAAGGATTATTTCATTATTCTATAGTTCTCCTGAGTTACTGAGAAAGGATTGTGGAATAAATAGGCAAATGTCTCAACGACATAGGAAATCGGATTCTATTTATTCTTTGTTTAAGCAATGATACTATTCTCTTTCCTTCAAAAAAAAAAGAGGATACCAACTTACCGTATACTCCAGCCACATTGCTTCCTGAGATCTCTTTTTTGCCATGTGGTCATCAGGCATTCCACCACTGGAAGAAGAAAGATGCTGAAAACACACAATCACATGATCAAAACACATATGGCACTAATTCCAAAATATGAAGGAACAAAATCCATCTCTCTTGCCACAAGTTCAATTTTACAGCACATCAGTTGATATTACTCCATATTTCCCAAAGGCTTGTGATGTTTAGCGTAAAGTTAATGATCAAATAGATACAGCCAAGACTCATATGGTCAAGTGGCATCGATTGTTTTCTGAAACTGTCAATCAAAGGTTCCATTTTTAACTCATACACTATGTTTGGTTCAAGGAATTTGAAGGGGAAAATAAAAGAAAATGAGAGGGAAAACAAATTTTTTGTTTGGTTAGGGAGGAAAAGAAAAGAAAAGAAAATGGAAGAAGAAATGAACTAAACAAAAGGAAAATAGTTTTCCTTCTATTTTGGTGAGGAAATGAATAGAAAACTCCTTTTATCTTTCCTCTCAAATTCCATGAACCAGAGATAGGGATAATGTTCTCATGTAACATTGAAAGCAAAAGTTTAAAAAAAATAATGGGGTGTATGAGAGGGGAATTTTGTAGGGAGTTTAGATTGTTGAGTTCATAACAAAATTTATTGTCAGCGGTCATGAGATTTTATGGGACGTTGGGATTGGGATTGGGACCACCAAGCCCCCCATTCTTTGGATTCTTTCCAATAGATATAAAAAGACTCCATTTACTCCTTAGAAAGTACTGAAGGTGAATTTGATTATTATTTACTCTCTCTGTCCTTAAACTTTTTTGTCATTTTCCTTTTTTAATTGTCCTAAGATTCACTTCCAATTTCTTCTTTATGAAATGTTTCTGTGACATATTTTTTCTCACTTCTAAGTCAATCTACTATCACACAATTTCATTTTTCATAATAACCATTTCAGGCCAACTTGGGAAGAAAATTGTAGGATAGATGGAGTACTATTGCTGTTGCTACTGTTATTGAGGAGCCTTTATGCTATTATCATTAAAGAAATTAATTAAATTGTTAAGATCTTAAAAAATAAAAGGCAATGCTATACTAATTGTGTAATACTAAATTCTAATACTCTGTATATCACAACAAAAATCAAACATATCCAAACAAATACTCCATTTTTGAGTAAGATAACAATTCTAATATTAGACAGGCATACAGACAAATTGTTTTTATCTGTGTTTGAACCAAACAGCCAATTATTAGAGTGAATGTACAACTAACATCAAACACAACAATCCTTTCTATTTTGTTTCATTATGATTGTTTAAAGTAACATATTATCCAGTTAGGAACTTTGATCTATGAGACTTCAACCTCACGGCTCACGCTAAGATCCTGGTGACACAAACTGAGTGAGTTGTTGACCTAGTTCACACACATTATTTGAAATGAACAAAGCATTTTCAAGTTAGGAATAAAAGAAAATGGACTATTGAGGTAGCATGGAGAATAAGGCACTCTCTCTCACCTGAAGATGACAAGGTTCCAAAGTGTCAAAAAGATCTTCAGTTACATCTTGGGCTCTGACAGTATATAGAGCATTCTTAAATCCACGGGAAAGAAGATATTCCTCTGTGTCCTTAGGCATTGAATATCCTTTAAACACACTAACCGGGGGATCACATATCTGGTAATGGAAAGAAAAACACAAAAAGAATTGAATAATCAGAACAAAAGTTAATACTTCCAAGCACCTGATAACTGTGTAAATACATCTAATGCAGTGGTACGAATGCAACAAAATGTTACAGTTTCCATTTTCCAAAACATTGTTAGTGAACAAAGCATGTAGTGATAGGTAAAGTGTTCAGTCAGATGCAATTTCTGGAATTCTACTTGATGCATAAGACAAGATACCCAAAGCACTCTCATTCATTAGGAGCCAGAAACAACTGAACACACTAGAGGAAAGACTGTCCAACACTACTTCCTTGCTAAACTAAAGAATCTTAGGAATCACTAGTTATAAGTTGCACGTAGCAGACAAATCTATCACAAACATAAGAATGCATGAAGGATTCATGACCTCTATGTGCCCCTTGATGTAAATATCTCCATAAAAACCATTTCAAAGTCAAACAATTTCTCTAATGAAATGGAGCATCCCAAAGTACCCCATAATGCACAAAGAAGATGTCATAGTGCAAGTACTGCATACTGAAATATAAAAAAATGCCTCTTACACACTCCAAAGTAGACTGAAAAAGAATCATATAGATTACCGAAGATCCGACTTGAGTCTGACAANCTTAATGGAAAAACTATTCAGAAACCAGTTAAAATTAACACTCCCAGCTCCAACATGGTTGACACTGGCATTCCATCTGTTAGATGAGAATTTGCAAAATGTACTAGTCCTTAACACATTTGTAGTGTTTGATGATATAGCAGCAGAACATGCACGAAACAAGCCGTTCATTAGCAGTAGCTCCTCCCCCGGGTCTCCACCAATTCCTGTAAACGAGAAAATGCACAAAATTTGTACACATTCAACAATTAACTTGACCTGGTTATAGTCGAAATCGATCAGAAACTTTGAAAGCTAAACAAAATCCCAGCTACTAAAGCCACATCTTTATCAATTCCAAGCTGAATGCAATCGATTAATCACAAATTCCAACCAAGCATAGCAAAAGCAATGTGTGAACTGTGAAGCATAGACACGCAAAACCTTCGGAGACATCGCGTCGATGCCAGGAAAAGAAGGTACCTTAGGCGCAGCCGGGGAAGAAGACGGGGAAGCGCAGGGCCGACGGAGAAAGGGGGGGCGAGAGACACCGCCGTCGGGAGTATTTCTTGTTTTGCGGATTTTTGAACGGAGAGATTAGAAGGTTGTACTCCCGTATGCTCCGGATGCTTAATTTGAATTGATAAGCCAGAAATCTACAAGTTTGAGTGTTTGACATCAAATTTTAGCATCTACACAAATTTTAAATATTTCTATAAGATAAAGCTTTAAAAAAAACTGTATTCAATAAAGTGAAAGTTAAGTATACACCAAAATGGGGCATCTCATTTGTACGTCAGGATATAAAGATTGTGTTATCTTCATTTGAAATGAATGGTTCTAATATGATTGGAATAAGTTTTGATTTGATTTAAATATAGTTATATTAGAAGATATTTTTAATTTGATTCAAATAAATTTAAGTACGAAGTAATAATTTAAATGTCTGCATGATTACAGACATTTAGTGTCTGTGTTTGTCTGAAGCACAAATATGATACACTATTTGGCATACCCCTAAAATATTCAATGTCAAATATTTGATGTTAAATCTAATAGATTTCTAACATTTTTGTAATTTGAAAAATTACATTTTAATTCCAAAGCTTAAATTTGCTATTGAATTTTGAACTACAAAATACATTGTACCGAGTATAATGTAGAAAATTGTTCTTGGGTACTGCATATTTTGAAAAACTAATTGCCAGGTACCTCACATTTTTAAAATATACTCCAAGGTACTCTCTATTTTGAGAAACTAAGTATTGAATACCTCACATTTTTAAATTATACTCCGGGATACCTCCAAATATACATTCACTTGCCTGTGAGGGACATTCCGTCTCACTCTCCGTCAAAGCTAATTACGCCATTAATTTTTAGAAATAGGGATTTGGAATTCCAAAAATAACCTTGGTTCTTACTCCCTCCGTCCCGGAGTATTCGTCCAGTTTTGACTTTTGGAACTGTTCATCTAAGCACTTTGACTCATCAAATTCTCTCAATGTGTAAGCCTAAATATAGTCATGTATGATCTTGTTTGATTTGTCTTAACATATAGATTATTAATATATAATTTCTATAATTTTTTAATATACAAATTATAAGATAAAATGGATTAAAGAAGTGTGTTGGATGGTGTGTAAAAATGAAAGTGGACAAATACTCTGAGACGGAGGTAATATACTTTAATGATATGATTCATCCAATTTAGTCGAAGCTTTTGAATGATACGGAATGTCCCTCACAGGTAAGTTAATATATATTTGGAGATACCCCGGAGTATATTTTAAAAATGTTAGTTACCCGACAGTTAATTTCTTAAAATAGAGGGTACCTCAGAGTATATTTTAAAAATATTAGGCATCCGATAGTTAGTTTCTTAAAATAGAGGGTACCAAGGTGCAGTTTTGTGAGTATAATGTGACAAAGATTTCTCTTATTGTAGGTTTTGAAAGCATTAAAAGCAAAAAGATCAAACACGAGAGAGCATGCATCGATAGATATTTATATCATTTGCAGTAGACACTTTTGGATTTCTTGCGATTGAGGCTCTGGAGTTATATAGTCGAGATATAGTTTTTATAAGAGCATTGGCAGCGGCGTTCCAAGCCAATGTCATGCCACCTAGGACAAAAAAGTTTCCTTCCTTGTGTGGAAGCACCGTTCCTCCATGGATTGCAAGGCTTGGGCGAGGCACATATAACTTTTTTTTTACTTTTCAATTTTTATTTAAAGAAAGATTTCTTTTTGTAAAGTAATAGAATTATTTTTTACTTTCTCCATCTCACAATAGATTATAATTTTTTCCCTCACCTCGCGATATCTTTGGTTTATTTGTATGTTTTCATTGATTATTTAATTAAAAAAATTTTGTCACAACTTTTTTTGTAGAACTTTTGATGTAATTTTTAAATTTATAAGTTTTATTTTTAATTCTTATACTAATTTTTAAATGAAATGATTTTTAAAAATAGAGAGTCTTTGCATCGTAATTCTAAAATAATAATCTAAATTGAGATGAATTAGGAATAAATAAAAATATGGAGTAGATAACAAAAACATTTTTAATAACTAAAAATTATTTATTTGAGTAAATGGAAATATTTTCATGATAAAAATATATAAGTAAAATAATTTTTAATAATTCAAATATGGCAAAAATATGAAAAAAAGTGATGAAAACAATGACCTGCCATTGCAAGGCATGCCACTCCACTCATGTGCCACTCATTGACTGGACTGTTTTTTATTAGTTAATATGCTCCACGTTAGCGTGTGGGATTCCATTTTTGCCTCACCATTGTTCATGCTCTAAGGAAAATGCTATTTGTACCCCAAGAATTTGTATCCCATTTTGTACACTGCAGGGATGTACTAACATTTTATGTTATGTAATGCTTATTTTTGTTAACGCACCAACACTTTGTGTCAATATAAATTTTTTGTTGACGCACCAACACTTTGTGTCAGTGTAAATCATCAAAGTGTTAGTACATATCTTTGGTGTACAAATAGAGTATACATTTTGGGATACATGTAGCATGTTCCTTTTTAAAATACTTTGTTTACTATTGAAAAAAGATAGCATCAGGTTTGACTTTCATCTCAATGTACAAGAAAACCATGGAAAATGTTAGGGGTACACCATTTGGTATTCTCCAAATGTCTCCCACCCTCTTCATAACAACAAAAATTTGCAACTAAATTCAAAAAAAAATAAAAATTAAATAAAAATGAATGGTAAAAAAAAATGTGGTGTACATTTGGAGTACACTTTTGGTATTCCCCAAGCATGATTAGATAACCATATACGGAGTACTTGTTGATGTAACACTTTCCAATTAGTACAAATTGTAAAACTGATGAGAGGAAAAAAAATGTACAATATACATTTGCAATTGAGCAAGTTGGAAACTATAAGAATTGGTTCAAATTAAAATTTTAGATTAAATAAATCGGTACAAATAATTATTTCTCTAACAACTAAAGTTATTTATTCAGATGCAAATAATTTGTGTTGATTAATACAGAGTGCAAATTTATAGAGAATTACATAGTCCAATATGATATTGATATACAGAGTGCAGATGAAGGAGATGGAAGGGTTGGTTCGGATCAGGTCGATTACAGTGTTACTTCAAACCATATTTGGCAAGAGCTCCCTTAAGTTGCACTTTCTCCCTGACCTTCAGCCTGAGATTAAAATAAAAAGAGTCATTTTTAACGTGTGCACAGTGACTTCTTGCAAATGAAGCATTTGTTAAGGTAATCAAGTTCAGGGACAGACAATCATTAGATTCATTACCTCTTAGCAGATCCAAGAATGTTTGGGTTTCCTGATGATGACTTGCCTTTCTTTCCTCTTTCAACTTTATTCTTCTTCTCATTTACTTCTGTTTTCTTTGGAACTGCAGAGAAGGATGATGAACTGCTTCCTCCAACCCCTTCCTCATCGCCCGCATTGGTGATCCCCTCAAACATTCCAGAAACTTCTCCATTCCAATCAGCTTCCGCAAGATTGGAACAATGGCCAGTTTCATTGGGAAACTGCACGTTCTTGGAATTCGCAGGGTTGGAATTCATCATCACACATTTGATATGTTTCTGGACCTTACCGAACCCTATGCTCTTCCCTGAGAATGTCTGTACAAATCTAGCATGATCCAGAAACTCTCTCAACACAAAAGAATGCAGAGTAAAAGACTTACATTATAAATAAAAATGCTTTCTTTCTTTTCTTTCTTTTTTTAACCTGTGTGCTCTATCTTCAGACTTGAAATCAATAAAGGCGATGCCTTTGCAGGTAGGGTCCCTGGTCTTAGCTTTTCCAGAAACAACTGGGTTTATCTTAACAATTCCAGGAAACTCTTTGAAAGCCGATCGTAAATCTCTGTCGACATTCATTTTCTTAGGAAGGTTGATCAGGCGCACACGAACATGTTCTGATGCTGTAGAAACTCCAGCATGCTACTGGCCAAATTAGTTTCCACATGATGCAATAACAGTAAAGTATTTGAAAGAACGAAAACCCCAGAATAATCCCACAAAAGCATGGCCTAGGGAAGGCATGTGTAAGCATATATTACCCCTACTTGAAAATAAAGATTCTGTTTTCAATGGATTTCCAGTTCAAAATAACAAGATTGTGCATATTGATCATATATAATAACAACTGCCATTAATTTGTAGGCATAGCTTGGCATAAATCCAGGCGATTTTTCTCCTTATAGATGGGTTTTCCAAGGAGGCCTTATATGTTAGTTTGCATCTTTGCATTTGGCCAATCAGATTTGATATGGTTTGAAAATCTCCATTGATGGTTACTTTAGCTTGTATCTTTATATTTGGCCAATATATAGGATAAATTAACTGATTAATGGTATGAAAAAATAATGCCAGGAGAGCTTTGAAAGAAAAAAAAACTAACCTCCTTCTTGGTTGATCTGTTTCTTATTTGGGGCAGGATTTAGAGGTGGACTGTTCTTGAGCTTGTTGAGATTAACAATCTGAGCTCTCCTACTCTGCTCAATCTCTTCCATCAGCTTATCTTCAATCGAAGTGTCGTACACTTCTCCTTCTCCAAACCCCCGCGGTTTCTTCTCGTGCCATGTCTTCATACTATCCCTCAGATGAAGAAACACGTCGCCGTCGTCCTCGTCATCGGAATCATCATCACCGTCGACACTGTCTATTTCAGTCGGAGATTTGGCGGCCCTCTTTTGATTGCTCGAGGTGAGTGAGAAAACCCTAGTTTTCAACTGCCGTGGAAGAGAGAAGGAACCGGGTCGGGTCACTCCGATTGAGGGTAAATGGAATCGGGTTTGAGGGGCTCGGAGAAGATTGGCGCTGCGGAAGAATTTGGACTGTGCAGGAAATTCACCAAGACTGAGCATTGCTTTGAATAGTTGAATTGCAGGAAATTTTTGAACGTCGTCGAGGAAGACGATGGATGAGAAGATTCGGATAAGATGCTTGATTTAAATGGGCTTATGATTTTAGTCTGAGCGCATTCTACGTGCTAAGCCCAACGAAGAAAATAAAAACGGATGATTGGGCCTTGGAAGTAGGTCATTCTAAAAAGTTCCTTAAAAGTGGTAGGGGAGAGTGTGGCATGGTTTAATACGTTATTTAGTTTATACCGATATTGTTTCAAATATTTCAATTTCGTATAAGATTTTATGTCTTACCGATATGATCCTGATTCTGAAGTATCGGTTCAATATAGTACAAGATGGTTTGGTATCGGTTTGGTACAAATCGAGATGATATACATATGATGGTGTAAATTTAACCAGGTAAGTTTGACCGGATACAACCTGATCAAACTGATTTTACCTAACAAGACAAACACACCATAAAGTAAGAACACAAAAGATGATCTAGAGTACTAGGAAACAATTCTTGAGTCCGAAACTATTTCTTATTGTCTCCAGAGTGTTCAAGAATGTGTATGAATGCTTGAATGCTCTTCTTCCACCTCTCACAATCTATTTATATGGGGTGGAAGAAGTAAATAAAGGTAACAAGCTCTTCCTTAGGTGCAATCTTAGCTTCAATCAATACTTACATAAGGAAATAGCCACCTAACTCGTCATTCGCTAACCTAACAATCAATGAGCGTAAATCTCGCCCTCATTCATGCCCTCCAGGCTTTTACCTTATACCCATCAAGATACACACACACACACACACACACACACACACACAAATGTAAAGAAAAATCTTTTTTTTGAAATATTGAAAATACATATAAATAAAGAGAGATACAAATTTAAAAATCAATAATAAAATGCAATATTGGCTTATGAAATTTAGTCTATATTTCACAAATAAAAGAGAACGATTGAACGAATGATAACAAAATTTATTTCAAATGTTTGTTAATGTCCTTGTATTCATCTACAAGAAACAAAAAAAAGTCCAATTAAATCATAATTTTACACATAATGTAATTAAATTAAATTGTCAAAATAATTTTATCATTTAATGAAGAAATATAAAATAATTTATTTTTATATTACTATAGTATATATATGTTCGCTTTGAGAATTTCGGTGAGAATAGACTGAACATTCTAATTCACTTATTTTGTGATATCAGTTAAAATTATAGTACATAGTTAATGATATTATCTATCGTTATCCAAGCTTTCAAAAAAATATTATTATCTAATATTCGTTGCTAATGATCACATTCGTAAAATTATTGAAATTATCAGCATGATCCAACACTTTCACTATTAACAAAACACTCACATGCATAATTTCCTCTATTTACAAAATTATCTTTATTCAATTCATTTATGCATACTTACAAATTATCTATCATGAGATTCTTTTCATTTATTCATGATAGGACACTGAATTTATACATAACTTATTAATCATCCACAAACACTCTTTCAATTACTCGTGAAGCACAAATGCAATAGGAAAGTTCGACACACTACACAACGAAAATTTTAAAAAGAAAAAAAACCAAAAAATAAAAATAAAATAACAAAAACATTTTCTCCAGCTCAATACGTACTTTTGAAACATGGAAGAGTACCAATAGTTTGCCACATGCCTTGTTCATTTATTCTGCAAATATTTTAATTTCTTGGTTATTTAATGAATATATCAGGCTTTTTTTCAATTCACATTTGATTTTTAAAAAATTAATATATACTCGTATTTGGAAACTAAAGTAGTGTTTGATGAGAAAACAAGATGGAAATTTCGATGTCTCCAGATATTAAACTTTTTTGGATGCTTGGTAAAGCAAAACAAAAAAATCAAATCTAATATGTTTAGATATCATGAATCCTTTAAACTAATATTTCGAATTTGGGAGATATCAATATAAAAGTTTGATATTTTTCGCAACCATTGATCATTCTCTGTCGCATACTACCATTGCCACGACCAACTACTATACCTCTGTTGCTGGTCACCCCCACTTAACAATAACTAAATTATGATTTTAAATTTCTCTAAACAACTTTATTTTTAATTTCAAAAAATTCATCACTTTTTTCATACTTCCTCCGTTCCTTAAAACCCTTCCGCCCTAATTTTTTGCACACCTCATTAAACGCTTTACTCCCACCTAAAATATCTAAAATATACCTCACTACGTAGTTTATTGCTGGTAGAAGTTATTTTAGTAGTATTTTAGACATTTTAGGTGGGATATAAGTATTTTATGGGATACGCAAAAAATTAAAATGGAAGTGTTTTGTGGAATGGAAGGAGTATTTCATAACTCATATCTTATAATATGTTCAAAACTTACCAAACGGGTCATAAAATCACGCCTAGTCGTGTAGAATCATTTAACTTTGGATATATCACAAAAGTTACAAGTTGTGATCAATTAATTCTAAAAAAAGAGAATTTATTTGACGACTGTACTACAATATACTAGTATATGACTCTACTCTAAAAATTAAATTTAATTTTTTGAATAAAGTTGTTTTCAAACAGGCCCGAAAACTAGGATGTAATACATTTACATATGTTCTTTCATTAAATTTATATATGTTCTTTATTTATTTTTGGCTAAAGTCCATTATTGGTCCTTCAACTTTATGAATTGTGCACGATTAGTCCTTCAAGTTTCAAAAGTCCATGAAAAGTCCTTCAACTTTATGAGTTGTGCACGATTGGTCCTTCAAGTTTCAAAAGTCTACACGTAGTCTTTCAAGTACACGTCAGCCCTCCAGATGAGGTCCTTTTGACAGTAAACATTAAAAGCTAAATGGAATACTAGTTCAATATAATACGAGTAAATTTCACTAGGTACGACGACTACTCCGTATTATAGGGAGCTAGTACTTCATTTAGCTTTTAACGTTTACCGTCAAAAGAGCCTCATTTGGAGGGCTCACGTGTACTTTAGGGACTATTTATGGATTTTTGAAACTTGAAGGACCAATCGTGCATTGCTCATAAAGTTGAAGGACTATTTATGAACTTTTGAAATTTGAAGAACCAATCGTGCACAACTGATAAAGTTGAAGGACCAATAGTGAAGTTTAGCCTTTATTTTTACTTGATCGATAATACATTTTAAAAAATTTAGATTTGTTGGAATCAATATTTTAAAAAGACCATTTGATGATAATATTTAATTTTGTCATTTTAAAAATTTATATGGATTATAAAATATTATCTAAATTAAAACGCTAATTTTGTCCACATTTGATTTTTGGAACTGTTCATCTAAGCACTTTGACTCATCAAATTCTCTTAATGTGTAAGCCTAAAAATAGTCATGTGTGATCTTGTTTGATTCGTCTTAACATATAGATTATTAATATATAATTTGTATAATTTTTTAATATACAAATTATAAGATAAAATGGATTAAAAAACTATATTAGATGGTGTGCCAAAAGGTAAGTGGACAAACACAGTGGAACAGAGGGAATAATGAGGCAGCCGGCCGGTTGGTCGGAAACAGCTTTACGAACGACCAAATGGTCCAATTTATGAATTTCAAAGTTCAAACCACATCAACTCATTTCATTTCTATCAACTCTTGCATCCTAAAATTTTCAAGGTACTTTTTAAATATATAATTTTTAATTTTTATTGATACACCAATTTATAGATAAAACAATTTTAAAAAAAATAAAATAATTCTTTTCATAAACTTTAATTTGTAATGAAATTAGAGAAGAATGGAGTATAATTTAGCTTGTCGGAGGAGATGGGTACAGAGTGATGCACTGTCCCCACCGGAGGAACTTAATTGTGGCTCTACCTCTGGCGCAATGACCAAATTTCCTTGTTCTTACGCTCCTTGGATTTATCACTTTTTCTCAATATTGTCCCACCTTTTCAAATCAATTTGTCATTTTAATATAGTCCTACATACACTCCCCCAATCAATTGTTTATTTTCCAAGAACAAAATCTAAATTTTCTTGCAAACATTTTTATGTACAATGTAATACAGAAATAGAATGTAAAATTTATGAACTCCATCTGGGGTATTTGAAATTTACATAATTTACATGCATTATAAATTTTATTTTATTGTATTAATAGAAATCATCCTAAATAGGACTAAAACATAGAAAAAAGTGTCAAAATAGGACTTTCATGTTTTTTTTCCCGGAATAGGACTTTGCATTATGGTAATGTGACTTTGCATTGTGGTAATGTGGCAGTGTACATGTGTAAATTACTATACTTTCTTGGTAATGCATATGACCATGTTTGGTAATGTAAGTCCTATTTCGGGTATTAATAAAAACATGAAAGTCCTATTTTGGTATATCTTCAATGTTTTAGTCCTACTTTGGTCTTTCTCCCTTTTATTAATTGATAAATGAAAAAGTATACACAAATAAAATTTACTCCATGTATAAAATATGGAGTACACTAGGAAAGATGTAACATTTCAAATAATATTTAAAAACTTAAAAAAAATTAACGAAAAAGTGTGTATGTTATTTACATACGGAGTATTTGAAAATTGAAAGAGATTAAGTAATGTTTGAGAATTGGTGTTTATTTGAAATCTTAAATTTTAATCTGTTATATTTATATTTGAGATTCTATCATTTCAAGTTAAAGATGCATTCTTTTAATTAAAAAACTACAGAATTTCAATTTTGCAATTTGGATTTTGAAGCGGACAAAGAAGGAGAAAGAAAGTAGTTACCATATAATTATTATTCCATGAGGAAAATTACTTTTTGATTTTAAGTTATAGATTTAAAATTATTGACTTGAATTTGTATATGACGAAGGAAAAAGTATTGATTTGTAATTGAATTTGTATGGAATTAAAGTTATTTATATGTTGGAAGATTTATTTTCTAAATTAAACAAGAAAGTAAAAATTTTAAAATTTATTTATTGGAGAAACAATAATAAGGAATATGAATTTTTGTATGAAGAATGAAACCAATCATTGAGCTTTGAAATCAGATTTCCTTTTCTTTTTAAATAATCCTCGGTATAAACTC